TTAATAATAATAATAATATAATAATAATAAAATAATAATAATAATAATAATAATAATAATATACCTAATAATATTTATTGAGTCACAAATACCAATTACAATTGAAACTGAACAAAACGCTGATCGAGATGGGGTCATTGGCCTAGAAATTACAATACTTGTACAGTTAGTTGAAGATATTATACAGTATATAAATTATCTGCTACTAATTAAAGCATTCGCAATATGATATTTTTAATGCTACTACTTATCATAATTACATTAATAATACATATCATTATGTTTTGGCAACCTATATCAAATTTAACCAATAGTAGTACATTCTTTATTTAAACTTGAAATTGGTTGAGGGGCAAGTTTTGACCAGCTTTTTTCTTCCTTCTATTTCAGCAGGATTGTGATATGCAGTTCTTTTTTTTCTTCTGCTTCAGCTTCAAACCGTTTCACATGAAACAGAAAGTCTAATGGAATAAGAAATTCTATTTACTTATATTTTTTAAGGGAAATGTTGTCAAATTTGAAAATTCTTTACACTATAGAACATGTTGTTAAGCCAGGGAAAGCTTTCAATTTACTTTTAAATGTAATGAATGTGTTTATGTCTTTGGGATATCATTGCCTTAGTTTGTTGTAAAAGTGTAATGCCCTGTATTAGGGTACTTTTTTGGTAAGTGTAGTTTTCAGAGTGGGGGAATGTGTAGGTTATCTCCTTTTGGACGGGTAATGTAGTTATGTAGCTCCAGAATTTAAAGTAAAGTGTCTTTGTTTCCATGAGAAATTTTCCTTTGTGAAGACCATTATTTCAATATGTACATGCATGGTAAGAGGAAGAATCCCTTAGTTTTATTAAACAAGGGTTTGCAAGACTCCAGGCTTATGAGTGCTGTTGCATTGCTCGGCAGTATTTCTTTTTTGATAATAAATGTGCGAGTGCTTTCAGGGGCATTTCCCCAGAAATATTAATTCCATATTTTTAGGTGTGAGTGCACATTTGCAAAATACATTGTTCGAAGTGTCCTCAACTGTTGGAGCTTGACCTGAGGGTGTATAGGGCATAGCTAAGATTTGCTGAGCTTCGTTGTTAAGATTTTTGAGATGTGAGTGTTCCATTTTAGGTTTTCTTGAATTGTTAGTCCCCGAGGAAGGTTAGTTTCATGAGATATCGTTACAGGGTTATTGTTTATGAGGCAAATTTGCTGTGGAGTTTTTTCTTAGATCGAGGATTCATGAAATTTAGGGAGAACTGTTTCTTGCTGGGTGTTTATGATGATTTTGTCTGAAGCCCATGTTTACTAGTGGCTTGCAAAGTTTTGTGAGTTTCTTCTTCTAATGATTTGTTGTGTTTTTTGCCTTTGATGATGATGTTTGTTGTCATCTGCAAACAAATTATTTTGTTGTTCGCTTAAAGCCAAAGGCCATGTCATTTATGTATATAAGGAATCGTATTGGCCAACGGATGGATCTTGCGGGAGCCCCACAATTTATTTTGAGGACAGGTTTAAGTTTTTTTTTATGGAGGGGGAGGATTTTGGGTTTTCTTTAGTGGTGTTGGGAAGGCACTATTTGTCTACGGTTTGATTAAATATCATTTGATCCATTGGCCTGCAATGCTTTAATTAATTGTAACTGAGGTTTTAGTAGTGCACAAAATTCAATACTTCAATATTATGTAGCTCTTTCCAATAACGAGAGAAAGTATGTACTGTTGTGGAATCACTAGTTAATACTGCAAATGTGTGACGCAATATTACGTGCACATGTGTGACCCAATATTATAATTATAACTAAACTTCTTGAAAGAATGTTCATGACCTAATGAAAGAACTAAATACAGAGAAACAATTTTACTTGAAGGTTAAATTTCTTCGATATTGTAATTGTTGGAAGTTGCCGAAGAAAATCATACTTTTACAATTTTCAAAATATCCAAATAAACAGTGGAAAACAGACCTATGACATCTCAATAAGTGTATTTCACTCTATTCATATAAGAAATTTAAAGAAAATCTTTGGAGCCATTTTTGAGAAAATTATGAAAATGTCCCAAGAGTTTCATGTAAATTACCCACAAAAATTAATGAATATTTTTCAAAATTGCAGATCGTTGACTCAGGACAGATTAACACGTGTTTCTTCCATTTTGAACAAAAAATTTACGTACGGTTTAGGCGTTAGTGATGTTCACATACACCAGACAGATGGACAGACAGTCTGACGTCTTGCCATCAACCGACTTTTCGGTATCAAGGACCCACACGCAATATGGATTCTGGCTACATCACGAGTTAGAGATTTTTTCTTCTAAATTTAGCAACTGGATTTATCAAAGTTTTTGTAACCAGGGTCCTATAATAAGGGTTTTTTGAAGAAAATTCTGTTTTCTTCGCGCTGCATTACATAACTTTCTCTTAAAGAAGATCCTTCTTAAGCGCGAGGTAGTAAAATGTCTTTTCGGTATCAGCGGACCCCAAAACGAGTATTTTCCTTGAAATTTCGAAGTCGATTTTGGTGCTGTTAATGTATTTCCCTTTATCTCTATATTCATAAAATCTATCGTTATGGAGAAATTTTATTTCATTTTGACATCATCGGATATAGGGAATAAAAAAAAAAATTAAAAAAAAATCCCCAAATTGTTATCACATCCGGAGTCCGTATACGGTGAAGATTTATGCACTATTTCGTTCCCAGGACAAGACGATAAGAGTTTTTGTGTCGAAAATTCGCCGTTGCAGCATTACAATACTTTTATATACTGCGTAAGTAGCAGCTAGAAAGTAAAAATTGATTTTTTTAATCATGTTTTTAAAAAATGCCATTAACAACACTAAGAGGAGAGTAATGTTTAGTAGTGATTACGATGAAATTATGAAATACAGAAAATGTTAGTAAGATCAAGGAGAACACCATAGAAATTGATACATTGTGATGACTGTAAACTTTTTCGCAACACTATATTAGTAATTTTGAGTTAAGTATTGAAAATTTGTTGAAGTTTTACAATCACTGGTATATTAAGTTTTTGTTTCAATGCGCACGGTAATCGTCAATTTAGTTTTCACCTACTAATATGAAAGCCAGGATTCGATTCTAATTAAATCGATCTTTTTTTAATGCGTTTTCTTCGATAAAAGTAAAGTGCACAAGTACGATTTTCATTAAAACTTATGACTGTAAATTCGAATCTTGCGTGTTTCTTTTACTAAAGAGAGTGTTTCATAAGATGACTGAAGAATTGATATGAGCCATATTTGTTATGAGCTTGAGTTTTATTTTCTATGATAGTGTAGTAGCAAAATGAAATTAATTACAATACTATTTCTAGTAGGTGAGACGATATCCTACGTGTACTGTCAGATGATAAAAATGATAAAGTTTGACGTGTAGTGATTTGTGGGACGGAAATGTGGAACCACCCGGTGTGATAGCGAATACAGTTGGAAATCCGCAATTGAAGCTGTTTCGAAGCTCAGTACAGATAAGGCTTCTATCTAGAGCAAGCAAATCTAAAGGACGCGTTCATTGTTCGCGCGTCGTCGCGTTAGTTTTATATCGTCTTAAAGAGTGCAATTCGCACTACGAGAAGATTGAAGAAAAACATTGGAGCGGTTTTTGAGAAAATGAAATTTCGTTTCTCAAAATGCGTAATTTTCAGCTCATTTTCGAGAAAACTTTTGAGTGTTCGAGAAACTTTATGTGACATCATTTAAAACATAATGTAATAATGGTAATAATGGGAACAAATCGCCGCTAATGTAAATATTGACGACGTGGGAGACAAGTAAAAATTATATTTTTTTCAAAAACAAAAGAATAGACAAAATGGCGTTAATGCCATTTAATAGAGTGCACTTGGCACTATCCTTACCAAAGGTTTAAACAAAAAAAATTGGAGCCGTTTCTGAAGAAATGTTTTGGAATACGGAGTAATATACGTAGTATAGGGAAAATTATGTAATGATGCGGAAAATCGATATCGAGATTTCAACGGAAATTCAACATTTGGGTCCACTGATGCCAGGGTTCTCCTGATACAGAAAAAGTGTTTTTTAAATATTTTTTTTCTCAAAGAATCATTTCTTCAAAATTTGAGGGAACAAAAGTGAAGATAGATATTTATTCTACTAGAAATTAATTTATTCATAGATAGTTTTATCATTAAGATAATGTTCTTAAGATTTTCTTCAAAAGGGATATTTCCCGATTAATCTGGCTTGATTCGAAGGTTTGGATTTGAAAAAATTTCTTTAAAATTTGGGGGTACTTACCACGAAGTCCCACGGACATTTCAAAAATTTCTCAAAAACCAAATGTTTCTTGTCTTTTAATTCATTTCAATGTTTCTTTCTATACAAAAGTTCTTGTAAAACTTGAGTAAAATACACTTATAAAATTGGCATAGGTCCGCTTTTTAGAGTTAACTCAACATTTTCGGAAATTTCTAAATGTTGAAATTTTTATGACGAAAATGACAAAATATACCATTGTAAAATTTTGAAAATTTTCGGACGTCTACCTACAACTACAAAATTCGAGCTTTTTCCTTGAAATAAAATTTGTTCTCCATTGTGAGTTCTTTTATTAAGGTCGATATTTATTTTATTTGATTATTTATATTTATTTTTTTACGTCAAAAACAGTTAAAAACTTGTGACGTGCGATGGGGAGAAGTTAATTTGAAGTTACATTTTTGTCCAGAAGGATAACAAGGGTCATGCCTGCATTTCCTCAAGGATCAAGGAAACTGGACAAAAACCTGATCGAGACCTACTTCTCTCTCAGGTCGTTGTTTGAGGTACAAACATAACCAATCTAGAGTAATACCACAAATTCCATACGAAGGTAATTTTGAAAATAAAATGTTATGATCAATGACGTCAAAAGCTTTTGAAATATCTAAAAATATTCCAATAGGTGCTTCATTTTGTTTCATGGATGAGGCGACATTTTTAAGAAAAAATATGGCTGTTTTCTTAGATTTTGATTTCTGAAACCCATGTAGTCAATCTGAATGTGTTTACAAAGAAAGGTTTCCTTTCGTACGTAAAAAAGTCTCTAATATTTTTGAGAAAAAAACAAAACAAAACAAAAATCGACAAAAGAGAAATTGGCCGTTGATTTTGCATTTCATTTTTGTTGTCTTTTTTTGAAAAGCAGCTTATTCTCGCTGTTTTAAAAATATCGGAATAAATTCGTATTCATCAGGATACATTATATATGTGAGTTAATGGGTATATAATGGCAGGCGCGCAAACCTTTAACAAACAATCCGGAAATTCATCTAAACCGACCGTATATTTATTTTGTAGTCTACCGATTATATTGAGAATTTCATAGGAAGAAGTTTCGGAAACAAACATCGTGCCTGAAATGTTTAGGAAAACGCCCGAATTTTGTGGCTGAAGACCCTTAGTGAGATCGGCAGCAATTCTCAAAAAGTATTGGTTAAAGAGACT